ACACACACACACACACACACACACACACACACACACACGCACACACCCCAGAGGCCCTCTGTCTGCACCCTGCAGACTATGGCAACCATCCAAGCACAGGCATATCCCTGCTCACACTGGCAAGTGAGTAGAGCACACAGACCACTGAGTCAGTGCTGGATGTAGGCAGCAGGGCATGGTGAGGGGTAGTGGGGATCGAGTAGACTGCTGGACTTAATGCCCGCACTTTCAGACATAATCATCTCCAAAAACTAGCCTCATTTCTCACCACAGAGGGTGAAACCCCAGTGTCCTTCTCAGCCTGAGCTCACATTTCTCAGGGCAGAACTCTCTCATGGCCATCTCTCACCCAGTCGTTGTGGTAGGATGACCCAAGAAACCCTAAAATATAATTATTCTGTACCTCCTGGGTCTGGACTATCTCAGTCTTAAACGACTACCTCTTCCCCAGTGGCTCACGATAAAGCACTCCCAAATATGGCAGGTGCTGTACTATACTTCTCCTCCAACTCTAGTCTACCATAAAGAGTTACTCTTAGAGTAACTGTTTTCTCAGACTATGATAACTGCAGGCTTTTCCAAGGGCTAGTGCTGCCAGCCCAGTCTCATTTCTTGCTAGGGCTGCCAGCCCTCTCTGGGCTTTCCTTGTATTTGAGGAGACAGCTCCTCTTTCCAGGAACCAGGGTTAGTATTTGGCTTGCTTCATTCTTTTCCATGTGTTGTCTCCATTTTCTTCAGTTTATCTGTGATTTCTACCTTTCGTGTTGCTTCTTTCTTAATTTCCAGAGCTTCTCATCTCTTTCTCTTCACTGAATTGTTGTTTTCCAGGTGTCTCAAGTCTGTGATACACTGCCAGACGCTATGTTGCCATCTTCCTTGCTTCTACAAGACATATTTCCCATCTTTAATGCATTCATTCCTTTCACTAGTCACGCCAAAACAATCAATTTCAGAACAGAAACATACTATGGTACTAGAAAATACATCTAGATATTTCACAGTGCTACTGGGGAAGCTGATAGCTCTTTTTTATCCAAATCTCTACAAAGTAAGAGCAACCAGTGAATTCTGAAAATATTGTGACAGCTACGATGGAGCGCAGGAGAGCAATTTATCTATGCTAGTCAAGATACAGAAGGCAGCTAGTACAGAGGAAAGTTGAGAAAGCTATAAGACCAACCAATAAACAAGCATTCTCTCCAGTATCGAGTTTCCCTATACAATTGCAGTAATACCTCGGTTCACCAATGCTTCTATTCACAAACAGAAGCATTCTGGAAAATTTTGCTTCTGTTGGTGAACTCCGTAGCCATCTTCCCCACAATTCTGGAATGAATTAAGTTCATGAACCAAGGTACAACTATATGTTAGCAAATACAATACCTAGATACTGTAATTGTAAAAATCAAGGCAGTAGTAAAAAATGTTTAATCATTTATACTCTAGCTTAAACACTAAATCTAACCATGAAGATTGATTGATAAAGTTGAATACAGTCTCACTTGTATTAGGTCAATATGATTCTGCTAAGGTATTAATTTGGTTTTTTTCTGTAGCATAATTTTAAATTAACATATGTAATATTTAACTGCTTGACAGGGTGTTTAAGAAAAAAAACAAATAGTTTTGAGGTGTGTATTAAATTCTTAAGACAGCTGATTCAATTGGATCAAGTTCTTAATTTTTTAGTATTTCTCTTTATTTTCACTTTGCAGCTGTCAGGAACACTTAACCGTTCTTAGAAAATTATTGAACTCTTCATTAAAATTATTGAACTAATATCATGAGTGGCTTGTAAGTTCAAAATTAGGCTGCAAGTGTCCTTCACTGTACAAGCCAGGCCACCTGCCGCGGTGTTACGGTTACATTTGTCCCTCAGAATGTGTTTGGCATCCTCTGTTCTTGCACTCGGTTGGATTACAAACTCACAAATCACGTTCACCTTGATCTTTTATATTAAGTACCTCAGGGACAACACCTGACATAAATCTAAACTTGTGACGTTTCCAGGTAAAAAAAAAAGGCAGAATAAAATGAGACTTCGGGTTCAATTACAATAAAACATCAGAAGTACCAAAAACACACATATTGAAGCTTTATCATTGCAGAAAGATGGAAAGCGCTGCCTCTTCTGAACAGAATCAAAATCATTGCTCAGCCATCAACAACAGTGTCCCATTGATGCAAGGGAGCCTTCCCACCCTGACCTTATCCGGAAAGATCCGAGTGACACTGACTTTCTTCCTTTTTCTACTCTCCACCACCTTTAATGCTTCTTTCTTGTTGAAACTTCAGAAATGGACTCAGAAGAAGGAGAAAGGGAAAAAGCTCTCAAGAATGAAGGTGCTTTTGAAACACCTGACCTTAGCCAACCTGCTGGAGACTCTGATTGTCATGCCACTGGATGGGATGTGGAACATTACAGTCCAATGGTATGCAGGAGAGTTACTCTGCAAAGTCCTCAGCTATCTGAAGCTTTTCTCCATGTATGCCCCAGCCTTCATGATGGTGGTAATCAGCCTGGACCGCTCCCTGGCCATCACCAGGCCCCTACCTGTGCAGAGCAGCCGGAAGCTTGAACAGTCCATGCTTGGCCTGGCCTGGGTCCTCAGCAGTGTCTTTGCTGGGCCACAGGTAAACCATTATTCATGAACTTGTGTGATTATGTTGATCGGAGATTCCCTGCCTAAAAGTCAGTAAAGGTCTTTCTGTATTACCTTTTCTGTATTACCTGTAACAGCCGAGGCTCTGATGTCAGAGTGGAATTTAATCCTGACTCTGCTTTGTTTCCTTGAGCAAATTTCTTAACCACTTTGTTCATTTATTTATAAAATGGGGATAATGCCTACTTCACATGTTTTTGTGATTAAATGAATACCTTATTGAGACATCTAGCATGATCTCTAGTACATAGCAAATGCTCTCTAAAAGGTAGCTATAACACAAAATTGACCTCATCCTTATCTTGTTCTTGTTTTTTTCTCTGGTTGACAGATGTAAATGTTAATTTGAAGAGTGTGCAGGAATTATGAAATTTACACAGGTAGAAAATTTTTATAACTTTTCATACTTGCAATTTATGTGGAAACTAAGAATTCTGTCACTTTCACTGAGAGAAAATTACTTTGATTAGTATGCTCCATAGTTTGCAGTTAGGCAGGATTAAATACACAGGAAAAGTGAGAAACTTTGGACTTTGGGAAATTTGAATATTTCTCTGAGGTTGACTTGAGTTTTGGTAGAAGCAGGGTTTTGACAGTTTCATGGCAATAGGTGTGGGACCATTTCCCATGGAAGGCAGACATCTCTCCAAATCGCCTTCATCAGAAGCAGCCAGGCTAAGTGACCTGGAGGTCCCCTTGCAGTGGTCAGTTCTTTAAAGAAAAAAAAAAAAAAAAAAAAACATGTTTTGGAAAATAACAAAACTCTTTTCACGACATATTAACACTTTGTCTCTGTGCTTACAAATGTACTGTATGAAAAACTCAGGGTGCAAGAATGTGGCAAGAAATGAAGTCACAGTTTTTTAGGATCCTTAAAACATGTGGCTCTAAAAAATGAAAATCTACCTAGACATTCAAAGCTGGCCAGATGGTTTTATCTTTTTTAATGCCATGTGGAATTGACTAAACATTGCAAGAAACTACATAAATTTTCCCACAGTTTCCTTAATTTTTCAAAAATTTGTTTTATGTCAGGAAAAATGGTAAAAACTAAAATGCTGTGATTTCCCTGGAGTAAAATATAATTATTTTCACAATGATTAAACACGCAAGATTAAGTTTTGTAAACCTGCCCCTTGAAATGAGGTTATTTAGCTAAGGTTATGCCCTTGAAATTTCAACAAGGTTTCTTTAAAGTACAGACTGAACACTGATCATTGCTTGGTTTGCTTGGAGAAGATAAACACAAGTTAGGTTCCTAACATGGAGCCTGGTACCGATGAAACCTTAAAACAGTGGGAAAAATGTAATTCATTTGTGTATACAAACTTTATATAAAACTGATCCCACTCAATATTTTAAAAATTTAATCCTTTTATAGGTATAGACAAAGAGATGAGTTTGTATTGCAATAATAAAGAAAAGTTTTAAGATAAAGAAGGAAAACAGTTTTCTCAGCTGAGTATTTGGGTGGAAAAAAAAATAAATGAAGCATCACATACATTTTTGAATGAAGGGTAAAAAGTATAACTAATTTTACTAAAGACTCATTTGGCCAAAGTGAAAGACTGGGAGACAGAAATAGCAAGAAATTAGAGTTAGTTGTTGTTTTTCCTAATTATTTGTCACAAAACACTGTGGTTATGTTTATCTGTGCTTGATGTACACCTATATGTGGTGAGGTTTTCTTGTGTTCAACTTTGTTAATATCTATACGACCTATAAGATAGCAAAAATGGAAATTAAATGTGTTTGGATGCATTGGTATGTACAATTTTATGTTTTAATGTATCAGTTGAAAGTTTTTTAAAGACTTAACTCTAAACAATGTTTGCACAAATGAATGAGGAGTATGCACATTGTCTGCAAGGTACGCAGGAGCCACATTATCATCCCCATTTGACAGATAATAGCACAAAGTTCTGATCTTTGAAAGGATTCAGACATTTTTACCAACAATTCAAATTAGTAAATACATACTACGTGGAAACCTAGCCTCTCTCTGGCTCTTTCTCTCACACATATATAACTTCTTGGAGCTCTCTGCTATCTCTTGAATAAAAAAGGTTTCCACTCTGTGGATAATAGAAGAGTAGAGAACTTTTTATTTCAGGTTGTGACACATTATATGTCTCCTGATTCACCACCCTCTAAACCAACTGACAAAGTCACATCTCATTGAGGCTAATTTACATGAAAAGGTCAACTTTAAGTTTCATTCTTTGGCAAATATATCAGCTGTTTACTACTTGAGTAATTCAAACTTCAATTTAAAAAGAAATTGACATTACCACACATGGTGGTGCTCACTTGTAATCCTAGCACTCAGGAGACTGAGACAGGAGAATTACTTCAAGTTCAAGGCCAGCCTGGGCTACAAAGTGAGTTGAAGGCCAGCCTGAACTGCATAGTGAGACCCTGTCTCAGAAAGAAGGGGACAGAGAAAGAGGGAGAGAGAGAGAGAGAAAGGAAGGAAGGAAGAGAAAAGTAGTTGGCATAACATAAGCCCAGGAATCTAGAAACTTAAGACATTTTGCTAGAGCTCAGAATAATCCATTTTAAACTGGTCACCTTCATTTTCCTCCTGCCTGGTGATTAACTTCAGAACCCAAGTTCTATGATGGTTTGGGGGTGTTTTCAGACATTTCAGCACACTGTAGCTGATAACATTTAAACTTTTTTTAACAGTGATTTTCTTTTAAAAAATGTCCTATGTGGAGTCCCAATAAGTTAAACAAATATGAGATGCAGTCTTTCAAGTGGGGCTATGGGAGGAGCACTCGCCTCTTGATGGTTCACTGGGCCCCACTCATAGTCACTTTAGAAACCACTGATCTCCCTGCAGCAAAGGTTGAGAGTCAATGAGATTACACAAATAACACAGGCATGGGATTTAAAGAGTCCAGTTCCAATCTCAGTACTGTCTCTTCACTGGATCTTAGCCAAAAGGCCGAGAAACCATCAGTACTGTCTCTTAACCAGCTATGAGACTAAGCAAATAACTAAGACAACTGTAAGGACAGCTATAAAAAAATAATTTATGTGACAGTATATGAAATCATCCGGTACAAGACTTTACACAGTAATTTTAAACTCCCAGTTAATGTTCATTTCCTTCTTCTCCTCCTTTCTTCCTCCTTTCCTTTCTATTTTTCTTTCATAAGATTTTTGAAATTAAAAAAGAAAAAATACAGAAATATGAATAAGAAAATGGTTAAAACAAACAAAAAAAAGAGCCAGGAGTGGTGGCTCACGCCTGTAATCCCAGCACTCAGGAGGCTGAGGCAGGAGGATCATTGTGAGTTCAAGACCAGTCTGGGCTACGAAGTGAGTTCAAGGCCAGCCTGAACTGCATATCGAGACCCTGTCTCAAAAAGACAAAAAAAAAAAAGAAATCCTCATACAAATATTTCTTCAAATTTTTCAGAATTGTAGTTTACATTCTGATTGATAAATTCACCCAAACTCCTCTCTAACAGAAAACTATACTACTCACCCTTAGAGCTATACATGCCCGAGTATAGTAATTCAGGTCTTATAGGTGTCATTTTTAAAGGGAAATATAGGTGCCATTTCATTGAGATGGAAGAAAACAAGAGAAAAAGAGGGGGGAAGATGGGAGAAATGGAAAAAAGAAGAACAGAGGGAAGGAAGGAAGGAAGGAAAGAAGGAAGGAAGGAAGGAAGAAAAGGAAGGAGAGAGGGAGGGAGGGAGGAAGGAAGGAAGGAAAAGGAAGAGAGGGAGGGAGGCAAGAAGAGGAAGGAAATGTCCATGAGGATTTTTGTGAGAGAAACCTGAAGAAATTACCAAAGCATGATGCATTTACAATTTTTAGATAAATACTAACTAATCTGAAAAGGAAACATAAGGCACCTATCTGATCTATCTGATCTAGGGTAGTTACTAAGAGAGAATGGCAGGCTACAGGTAGAAGCTAGTGAAAGAAAAACATGACTTCTAAAAGTTCGTCCCTTCAGGTTCACAGCAGCCCCAATTACCAGTCTCCAGTGACCAGAGCTATTTCCCAGCCTTGGCGCGGGACGCACATCCTCCCAAGGAATCTTCGTGGAGGGCTGCACATAGGGAAAGGCAACACGCACAGCCCTTTCTGAAGTTATAGTCCCTCTGTTGTTTTCAACCAGACAGAAGCTGTATACCAGTAAGCCTATTTTCCCTCATGTCCTTTAAAACCATAGCCAGAATTTTTAATTTCTACACTTACCCAGTATGCAATATTATCTAGTTCCATTTTCCTTGTAGAAGTCTATGGAAGGAAAAGCTTAAGGACAGGATAGTAAAAAGACACTTCCAATATTTTATAATAATAATGGTTAAGACTGGTATAGTGCTGTGTGCAGGAACTATTTCAGCTGTTTACCATGCATTATCTCCTGTATTGTCAGGACAGCCCCTAGAGACAGATGCTACAGTATTCCTATCGCCATTTTAAAGATGAGGAAACTAAAGCACATACTGACTGAAAAGAATTACCTTTCAAAGAGTTTTCAGTTCACGTGAGGTAAGTTGAAGGCTAATGTAAGAAACAGTGAAAACCCACTGCAGGTAAAGGAGGAAAACAGAACAATTTATGGCAAAATATAACGAACACTGATAAGAACTAGAATCATGGATAAGGTAAGTAGAACACATAGAAACTAAGGAAATATAACCCAAGGACAAAGGAATCACTTAAAGGACAGTGAATCCTTACTAACAACTCAAATAAGAATGGCCTTGAAGCACAAAATATGCTGAACCCAGACTAAGACAAATTTTTCTAGCGGCAAGTAAGATTCTGAGTTTCGGGTACTTGCCTGTATTTCTTATTTCTGTCTGTATATTAGAATCTGTCTTGTATTACAGATGTCACATATATTCTATAACAGCCACTACCAAATATTAAATTCCCTGATATAAATATGCATTTGTTTCATCTTTTAGGATAGAGAACACCTGGTATTGTTAGTTTTACCAAAGAACTGCTTTAAAAATAAACATTTGTTAAATAAAGATAATAACCAATAACTCAAAATATTCAGTATTTGTAGTACTGTTTCACAGTCACTGTTACTGAAAGTTTCATCATCCCAAGTTACTGAAATTATGAAATACTAAGGTGACATTGGGACACAACGCAGAGCAGAGAGTGAACTCAGGTCATCTGATTCCAAATACAAGTGATGAGGTGTGGAGGAAGGTAGTTACACTTAAAAAAAAAAAAAAAGCAAGACTCCCAGGTTTTCTGTGTGGTAAACCTTCCAAAGACTTCAATTCACACATCTACTTCACTCAAAGCTAAATTTTAAATAAGGTCAAGTTGGAAAGGAGCATGGAAAACTGAAAAGTTCACTTTGTAATGTGGTAAGAAAGTTGGTCTGATTCACTAAATAAAATTAGCTGAATGGTTCTTAAATTCAACACTGATAATATGATTGTTAGTCGCCCTCTGCTGGATTAATTTAAAAATTATTTTCCCTTGGAAAAAGATCTGAAACTGAAAATCAACTTTTTAAATACAGGTATTTTAAAAAGACTATTGTTTCGAGTTTACAGACTAAAAAAAAAAAAAATTTATAGCATTTTTAAATGGCACATTTCACTCCCTATCTCATAAACTCAAAAAAGTAAGAAACTCTGGGCCTATTAAACTATAACTTATTAATTCAATGAAAAACACTTTTTTAAATCACTAGTTTATTTTTATTTATTTATTTTTTGGGGGTTTTCCCCGGTACCAGGAACTGAACTCATGACCTTACGCTTGCCAGGCAGGCACTTTGCCACTGAGCTAAATCCCCAGCCCCCAAAACCACTAGTTTAAATGCTCAAATTTACTTGTTAACAGTTTTAATATATGTGCAGTGCTTGCACTAGTTGATGTTTTTATTCAAGTAATTTTTCACAGTAAATTGAAGTTTCTTAGTAGAGAGCTTGGAAATAACTAAGAAATGTGCTTGGCAAGTAGGGAAGGATAAGTAAGTGTCCACAGGAATTTTTTTCTCAAACTCCTTGCACCATTTCCGTAAGAGTTTCAATTTATGCTTTAAAAAAAATAGACATTTTAAATGTAATTTCACACTCAGAAAAAGATTGCAAGAATCATGTAAAAATTTCTTGAATATCATCTATCCATGCATCCCCAAATATTAGGATTTTCCTACGTTTGCTTCTTTGCTTTTTTCTCACTTGTTTATATTTTATAATTGTTTAAAAGTTGCACATATCCCTTCTGTACCTCTCAATACATCGATGTGGGTTTAAGACTTTCCCACAAACCCAGAGTCTGAGTATCGGAGGCAGGAAATTAGCTCTGATACAATACTACCATTTTAATGTTTGTCCTTCTAACAAAAGAAAATCCTACACTATAGGAGGGACTCAATTGTAAATCTCCTTTTAGGTGGAGACTAAAGGTTTCCCTGTTTAACATAATACTGACATCTTTGGAGCACAAAGGTCAGTCATTTTGTAGGATGCTCCTCAGTTTGGATTTGCCTAATGCTCCAATCGAGTTATACAGTTTAAGAAGTGGTGGCAGTATTGTCTTAATTATGTGGACTTTCTCTACAGTGCAGTTATTGTCTTACTTTTTATGATGAGTAGTATCCTGGAGGTAGAAACTTTTGGGTTTTGTTACCCAGGATTATCACACTGAGCTACATACCCACCCCTTTTCATTTTTTATTCTGAGACAGGGTGTCACTACTTTGTCCATTTGGGACTTGAATTTAGACTTCTCCTGCCTCATCGTCTCAGAGTGCTGCTGGGATTACAGGCAGAAGCCACCACGCCTGGCAGCGATTTTGTAAATACGTTTTTCTCATACTTTCACTCTTATTTTTACTAGCCATTGGAGATTTTTGCCTGAATCAATTATTATAGTGATTAGCAAATATTAATCACCAACTCCATTTTACACTTTTCCTTTTACATTTATTAGTTGGGATTCAATAATAGAGATCTTTTTCCTCTCCCCATTTATTTGCTGCCATTTTGTAATTTGTACCAACATGGATTCCTACTTAATAGTTTTTAAAAAATGTTTCTTTTTTGCATTTTGATGTTTAAACTTTCCCAAATTTAGCTGAAAGGAGTCATGTCCAGCTAGCTTCTGGGTTCTTCTTACACCATTTTCTCTATTTACACTTCTTCTTTGGTTGAGGTCATTGGAAGCATGTAGTTTATTTTGTCTGGCCCAGTTTCAGGGTCACCCACTTCTCCAACGACCTCTGCTTCCTTTTAGTAGAGAATGGTATTGTGAAAACAAGATTTGGATATATGGTAGAAGAGGTGCTCATTGATAGGTGGTGATCATTTCTAGGTTTTCTATGTGGACACACCTGAAAACTATATATATGTACCCACCAATAGACTGATCAAATTGATGGATAAAAATTTGCCTTTTTCTACAGCTGTATAGCAATTCACTGTGCGTTCCATTATAGTTATTCAGTCACTATTCCGTGAACTGGGATGCACATTATTTTCAGTATTTTTTCAATTACAAATTACGTATCAGTGAATATTCTTGTGCATATGCATTTCACATACTGAGGGTACAGATGTACATTTAGGGTAAATTCCTTAGATGAAACATTGCTGTATCAAAGGGAAATGCGCTATTAGGCTTCTCCAGACGAACAGAACCAATAGAATACATAATAATTTACTAGATTAGTTTAGGCTGGACAGACTCACAGTGGTCATCTGCCAGCTAGAAAACCAAGGGAGACAGTTGCTTCTCCTTGCAAGGAGCTGGAAGACTCAAAACAAGGACCATGGTGTAGCCCTAGCCCAAGCTGGAGGCTTGGAAGCTCCCTGGAGAGTCACTGATGCAAATCCACTTCAAAGTCTGAAGAATCTGTACTCGAAGGTGACCACTACGAAGCAGACCTGAGCAGGACTTAAATTAATCAATTGGCTTTTCATGTTCACTTGTGAATCTGTCCAAGGCCTAGGCTCCTTATCTGGAAATGGCGGACTCATAGTAAGTGAACTTCTGTGAGTCACTAATCCCTACTAAAACCTGTAGTGGTGGATGAAGCCAGAAAGCTTCAAAGGATAAGACAAGATCACAGCCAAGGACACCTGGATTCATTCTCAACTAGATAAAGACGATAGCCACAGGCACCTCCTGGGTGGATTAATTTAATACCTTACTTAGAGAAGTCCTTGAGTGATTCCACCCCTCTTGAGAGGATTAATTTAATACCTTATTTAGAGAAGTCCTTGAGTGATTCTGCCCTTCTTGAGTACTCCTTTCCCTTCTTCTGATCACCAAATAAATACAGGCCACCCACAGAAGATCTTGGTTTTAGCCCTAAAAGAATCTTGAATTCTGAAAGAGAGCTTTGATCCTCCTGGAGCCCTAAAATCATTCCACGTGCCTCTTTTTATTCTGCCTTCACCATACACTCATTCAGGAGATTGTGGACCTGATCAGCCTGCAATAACTAAGGGATACCTTTAACCAGATAGTAAGGTCCATGGGCCAAGGAACACTAAAAAACCATACCCTGGAAGAAATGTCTGTCCAGCAAGCCGGGAGTTTCCCCTCCCTGTTTGCTCCATGACAGCTCCCAGCCTATTGGATGATGTTGCCTACACTCAGGGTAGGTCCCCCTCCCTCCTTTGTGTAACAGCTCTCCCTGGCACATGCTCACAAACCAGTGTTCCTCCAATATTCCTAGACATCGTCCAATCTAGTCCCATTGACAACCAGGATTAACATCACAGTGAATGCATGGTTATGCTACATATGGTCTAACTGCCCTCGATAGGTGTTGTTACAGTTTGAGTTCCCACTAGCAATTTAAGAGGGTTTCTTCACAGCCTTGCCAACAGAATGAATTCTGAATCTCGATAGTGAGAATGGAATTTCAGTGTAACTTTAATTGGCATTTCTATTATCACGAATAAGGATGAATATACTATATGCCTAAGGGCCACTTGTATATCTTTCTTGTAAACCGTTCACATCTTTTGAGCATGTTTAAGGAGAAGGGTTCTGGCCTCTAAAATTAACTTTAAATATATATTTGGAAAAGTGCTTTCTAAGTGTCTGTCTAGTTTTAGGGACCATTGGTGTACTATGAACAGAATCACTTGCAAAAATTTAGTCAACTAAATTGCACCTGAAATTTAAAGTACAGGCAAGGTTTAAATCTTTGAGTGATGACTGTTCTACAAACTTGAAATAATTTCCCCAAATCCAAAATCCTACAGTTCCATTTACAGCTACTCAATCATATTTTAAGTAAACATCCACTTATAAGTTTTCATAGAAATTCCAAAAGAATAATACAAAGGAACTTAGAAATTGCTTTAGGTAACAGTGTATTACAAAAGCTAGCAGCATAAGGTGAGAAAGTTTTAAGATGTTATTTGAAAAAAGTAACGTAACTTTTTGTTTTCTTATTTTCCTATACAGTTATACATTTTCAAGATGATCCACCTAGAAAATGGTTCTGGGCAACCAGAAGTTTTCTCCCAGTGTGTGACACACTGCAGCTTTCCACAGTGGTGGCACCAGGCTTTTTACAACTTCTTCACCTTCAGCTGCCTCTTCCTCATTCCTCTTCTCATCATGCTGATCTGCAATGCAAAAATCATCTTCATGCTGACACAGGTTCTTCAGCAGGATCCGCACAGTACGTATTCCTGGCTGGCCTCAAGCTAACAGCGATCCTCCTGCCTCAGCCACCCAAATGCTGGGATTACAGGTGCATAGGCATGTACCTGGCCATTTTGGCTTTTAAACAACTAAGTCCTTAACTTCAGAAAGACAGTATTGCTATAGAAATCAGTAATTCCACTGATTTCAATAAACCTCTTCACAAGAACAACCAGTGGACTTTCAATGATGTATTTGTGTGAAAAGTTAAAAAATTTCTGATTTCATAGAAAAGCAGCAACAGTTGAAGCAGATAACTGGGGAGGCACATGTGTACCCACACACGATTCTCACTACCCTTTGCTCAGAGACACCTGATGAATATAATTCTGTGTAGTCATAATTCAACTCAGCTCAACCTCTGTCTACTCTCCTAAGTTTATAGTTTAGTTGCTTGAGTACCAGATTAGTTTGATGGAAATTTAACTTTAAAGGTGTTGTCTTTCATCTTTGCCTTATGTGGCAGCATGGACAACTAATTAAAAGCATGCTTTTTAAATAAATTATCATTATTAAAACTATTGGACAATTTCCCCTATTATATGCACCACCTTGGCCTAGTGAGTCTTCCTTGTTGGCCATTTTGGTTTTGTGAGAAAATTGCCTTTAAACACACACTCTTTCTTTATCTAACAGAACTACAACTGCATCAATCCAAGAACAATATACCAAGAGCACGGCTGAGGACCCTGAAGATGACAGTGGCATTTGCTGCTTCCTTTATTGTCTGCTGGACTCCCTACTACGTCCTAGGAATCTGGTATTGGTTTGATCCTGGAATGTTAAACAGGGTATCAGACCCAGTAAATCACTTCTTCTTTCTCTTTGCTTTTTTAAACCCATGCTTTGATCCACTTATATATGGATATTTTTCTCTGTGATTCATAGACCATCCAGAAAGTAATCCAAAGAAAGAAAAGGTAGTAATTGTCTTCATTTGGAAATGAAAAACACAAAGCTTGCCACACATTTACACAGAAACAAAGCAGGATGTGAGAATAAGTTATCATCCTTATTCTTTCAAGACATCATACTGGCACAGATTCAATCACAAAGAAAATTATAAACCAGAAAACATACTAGTAATTTTTTCTTAACCATAAATTTCCAATCTCTGACCTTCTTTCACATATTATTTGGGTTTCTTCTTGCTTTCTCCTGGTATAACAGTGCATAAACATTTAAAATAACCACAGTCTAAGGCAAACAGATGCAATAAATAAATACATAAATAAGCTGAGAAAGTACAACACAGTTTAAACCTTACCAGAACCACTGTGTTGTTTGTTTGTTTTTTTTTTTTTCAGCAAAAAGGGCTTAGCAGTGATTATAATCTTACGCTGTAACAATACCTAGAGCACAAAGACAGTAGGGCTTCTGCACATGAGGTCAATTTGCCTTTCTCTGATTGAAGGAGAAAACAAAAACAGTGGATCTTTCTCTTCAGCTTCAAAAGCATTCTAAGTCTCAGAATACTTGGCATTCAAGCCCACCATCCTCTCCACCTAGCTGACAGGGTTATTACACCGTGCAGATCGTTTCCTCCCACTTCCATGGCAGGACTGGTGGAGAGTATACAAAGGGGGGTGGTTAAGAGTTGGACACGGATTAGTAACATTCCTTTAGGTTTTATAGCCCCCAAGATTTGTGGTGCTGCTATAATAATGACAGTGTTTTTAAATACAATTAAGAAAAGACATGCATAAAACCCTCTGTGTTAGTCATTCAAGGATTTGTTTGTCTATCTTCTGATCTTGCTATGTCCATAATCTGTAAGTCATTAAGAAAAGTGAGTACAAAATCAAGCATATGCCCAAGCAAAAAAGATGCTACATGCATGAAGGAACTATGGAAAAGAAATTGTTCAATTTCAATCTCCATCAATCAAAAACAACAGCAGAGAGTTCTGCAAGAAAGGAAAAAAAAAAACTAAATGTGAAACTAACATCTACTGATATTCACATTAAATGGTATGTTTTCCAAAATACATTTGCACAACACCAGTTATTTTATTTAATTCAGGCCTATTTCTACCCTTTCTTGAAAAATGGGATGAATTTTTAAAAAAAAGAGGGTAATGCCTATGCAGTGAGAAAAATATGATAAAGAGCTTTAAAAAATCAGCCATTATTTAACATTTTTAAATTGATAAGATACCATGTATTCATGTGAACAATGTCATGACACACAAACTATAAAGATACTTTGCAAGCATTCCAGGGCATGTGAAATTGTGGAAAGCAAACTCCTGATTGAGTAAGTCTCCTTTTCATATTTTTCTCCTTTCATATTTATAGTTTTGTAGTATTGTCAAATTTTTCTTTCACATACCACCTTATTTTCTAATTCTGTCTCTATTGTATTAGCTTGTTTGTTTGTTTGCTTATTTGTTTTTTGAGACAGGGTCTCATTATGTAATCCAGGCTGGCCTTGAACTTACTATGCAGCCCAGGCTGGCCTCTAACTCACGGAAATCTGCCTACTTCAGCCTCCCCAGTGCTGGGATTACAGGCATGCACCCCCACACCTGGCTTCTATTGAACTCCTTTCTACTCTTTCTTTCATATCTTCTTCATTATTCAACTCATACTTTTAGTTAACTAATCTATAGCTGAAATCTACCACTGAACTGATCAAGATTCAAAATATGTAGCATGCTGAAATGCTCAAAGTTTGCGCTGTGCACATAACAAGATTTTATAGTTTTTCTGGATAACACAAAACCAGTCTTCTCCAAGTCTCTTTATCATATATTTACTCTCAAATTGATAATAAATCTTTCTTCCAGACTTAGAGTAAAAAAACACACATGTACAAGGTACAATCTAGGGGCTTCATTGCATAGGTATTTAGGCCATATCTCAAGTTTGTTCTTAAGTAGTCAAGAAAGTATTCTATTGAGCTATTTCTACAGGCATTTTAAGTACATTTACTAAAGGGCTATTTAAAATATAGACGTATAGGTCTTTAATTTATGTCCTATTCAGAGTATATTTTAATACAATTGTTTTTGTTTAGCTCTATTTGAATTATTTTATGCAGTTAAAAATATTAACCTGATGGAGTATTTATAGACTATATGAGATTGCCAAAAAAGGTTAAGAACGTGATTCTGCATACCTATAAGGAAGTTTATTACAAAGATGTATCTTCATGCATTTGTTTATATACCTGCATAATAATGCTCATATTGAAATTGCATTGCTTCGATATACTTAGTTATCCTTTTTGATTGATTTTTTTTTTTGTACCAGAAATTGAACTCAGGGCCTTGTGTTTGCCAGGCAGGTGCTGTGCCGCTGAGCTACGTCCCTGGCCCCTCTACATCCCCAACCCTTATTCTTTTTAAGCTAAGAAACTCTATTGTAAAGTTCAACATGTTCTGAAAAACTGCATAGGAGTAAGTAGTATTTAGCAGTATTGTGGTTTATAAATCATAATATGGACGTATATTTAAACAAAAATTTATAGCCCAGAAGTTAAATATAGCTTTTCAATAAAAGTTTCACCACTTAACAAAGAGTATTTCATATTTGTTTATTTGTTTTTGAGACAGGGTCTCACTGTGCAGTTCAGGCTGGCCTTGAGCTCATTTTGTAGCCCAGGCTGGTCTCGAAGTCACAACGATCCTTCTGCCTCAGCCTCCTGAGTGCTGGGATTACAGGCATGCACCACCACACCCGAGGAGTATTTCATATTTGATATGAATACATCCATGTATTCTGTTTCTAATTATAATAAAAAATTAAGATTCTTTGAAAAAAAGAAACATTCTGAAAGTGAATCCAACATATCAGATAACTAAAATTGTATTTTGGTTGTCTCATCCTTACTTAACCTATTAAACTAGTGAAAAGTTGGATTTTTTTCAGCAATTCAGTTTAGAAAAGAAGTGACAAACTAATAACAATGAATTGAACAAAGATCACATTGATTCAGTTTCAGCCTATTGTAGCTAAAAAAACACTCTGGGCCTGGGGAATGCATATGACAAATACTATCTTTTTGTCATCTTCTAGGGAATTTTTATAGTGGCCTTACCTTAGAATTTCTGTGGTAGTCATAAAGAATTAGAATTTCATGCATTTTAGCTGTGTCCTAGTTTCAAATATTGAACCAATGCCTAGGGCTTTGCTAGCTACTATAAAGTGATTCTATATGAATAAAAGAAAAGAAATAATACCGGTCAACTTAATTGTATCACTTTATGACTAAGTTAAAATCAATTTTAAAGCAAGTCGAAGTTTAGAAGTTACATAACATAAAATGTATGCTTAAAAACAATAAACATACAAAACATGTTGATATAATTTTCTCTGACTGCATTTTCAATTTTTTTCTTTCTTTTGAATTCTTATAATTCTAAATTCCCAAAATAAACATACACTGCTTTGGAAGTGAGAAAAATAACCCAACAAATGTTATATGTGTGTGTGTTTGTGCTACTTTTTCATGCACTGCTGTTTGTGTTAGAATGCTTTCTGATGGGAGGTAAATGAATACAAACTAGCGGGTTATTTTTCTACCTCATGTTACACGATGACCAGCAGTACACACGTTAACTCAAAGATGTGAGTCAAAGTCTCCGCCTCCAATGCACTTTTCTTTCCTGAACAAAAGTTGGTTTTCACCATTGCAAATCACAAAGGGAGAAAGAAAGAGTGACTTCTCATGGTGGCTTTCCTTTCCCTAGAACATTCATCATTTTCTCTTAAATTGGCCAAAACCAGCACACATGACCACTCCTAAACCAATTATTAACAAAGAGGAAGATTCTCCTACACTTGTAAGGCTATCTTGGGAGACACCTGACTGAGAACTTCTGCTGCCTGTGAAGAAG